ATAAATTAAAAAAATGATAATGAATAAATAAATATATACATAATACACATATTAATATTATTTATTTATACACATTTAAGCACATTTAGTTAAATATAATATTTAGGCAATTTGACAATTAAACACATAATATTAATAATAATAATGATAATAATAATAATAAATAATAATAATAATACTAATACTAATAAAAATGAGCAAATAATAATAATAATAATAATAATAATAATAATAATAATATATTAATAAAAATCCCAAATAATTCTTATTCAAACGGGGCGTTACAGTCTACCCACCTTACAAAGAATTCCGTCCTCGGAATTCGAAAACCAGACAACTAAAAGGCAAGAGAGTACAAAGAGGGGACATCAAAATGTGAAATTCGGGTACTCTCCAAATCTCGGTCTCCCTCTGCCCACTTTGAATTTAAAAAAACGTCGACTTTCTAAATATCAGAAGAATATTTTTCGAATTCATTTTCGAAATCAAGGGCATTATCAAACAATTTCTTAGTCCAAGTCTTATCTGGACCCACGGGGATTCATTACCCGATTTTTCACAAGGTTTTCGTTAACTCAATTCACAACAAGTCGCACAATATCCAGCTTAACATAAATGCATGAATAATCAAAACCTCATAAATTCAAGCAACATTAATATTCAACAGGGCTCTAACAAAGCATCCTAACCAATAAGTCAAAAACATAAGTTTCCAAATGGGTTTTCAACATGTCCAAAACATAGTTCATAGTAAAATGCGGAAGAAATAATATATGAAAGACCACCCACTCGTCTTACCCTCGTCATCCCGCCGACTGCTTAACCTACATCCATGAAGAGCAGGTGGGAGTGAGCACAAAATAAAACGTAGTGCTCACTACTATGCACATATATAATAACATGTTAAAAAAGCATGGTCGCAGTATGAATATAAATCAATTATTCTGTCACATCTCCATTTCACAACACAACATAATATACTACCCATGTGCACGCACCTTTCATTAGCCATGGAAAGGGGATTCATTACCCTAACTCGTGAGGGTACGTGTCACGCTACGGACACGGCCTTTCATTAGGTCTTAAGGAGACATACCTCTCAAGAGTAACCATATTACATCGACGGGGACAACCGTAGCGATAGCCCAATAGGCTCATGCCGATAAGCTACATGGTTTACATGCATACTTAGATCATACCAACCCGAAATAAATAAAACACATATACGACATAGAAAGTTTTTAGTAAGTAAACCCACCTGGATACTGGATTGATAACAGCAAGATAGAATAGGCGTAGGTTGAGGCTTGACTCCTCAAACA